AATAATCAATAGTTCTAATATTCATTATCACTATAAGAGATATTAATTGTGCTTAAACCATTTGTATAAAACATTATAAATTACAAAAAAAAACATTATTTGTCAATTATTTTAACAAAAGTTGAAATAATCTGAGAGAAATGATAATTATTATAAAATAATGATAAAAGAAAGGTAAAAATTCAACTAATTTTTTGATAGAGTAAAGAAGGTATGAAATCATTTAGAAGCTTACTTTCATTTAAATAATGATAATATTGATAAGAATATGTGTTTGACATTTATGTAAATAATTTTTTAATTATCCATAAATAATGATAATTCAAAAAATATAACAAAAATATCAGTAATAGATGATTGGATGAATAATGGTAGTTGAATGAAAAGCATTTTAAGATAAATGCTCACTTTTAAATATACTAAGTAAAGTATATTGCAATTAATTTACATAGCTGTTAAAAGTTCATATTTGATCGATTTGTGGAATTATTTTAGCTTTTATTTTAGGAAGTTTTCAAATAGTGCATTTCCTTGAACAAAATCGATTTATGGAATTATTTTAGCTTTTATTTTCAGGAACTTTCCAAATAGTGCATTTCCTTAAACAAAAATAGTGACTAATTTTCGAAAGTTTTTTGGAAATCATAAAAGCATCAAAAAGATTTGAGGGAATAATTTAAATGTAAATTGAGATTATAGCAACAATGTAATAAAATCAAAGTTTACTGAGATGAAGTTATATCATAATGTTAGCAGATATCGAATTTTGCAAGAATGAAGTTTGTCTTACGGAGTGGTTGTCGGTGTGGGTGTTCGCGTGCGTGGGCGTGTGGGGGTCATGGGTTTTTAGACGTAGGTTGAGAAATCACCCTTAATTAGCTGATAAAATTTGTAACAATCGCACATGTTCTCATCAGATTCCATAACACTTACCGAGATTTTTGTGTTCCTCCAATTAACGAAACTTATTTCAAGACAAGTATGACATTATAATGACACAATTCCAAGTGTTTCATATCTTTTTCAAAGTTATTTGCTTTTTTTCTTATTATTTTTTCGTGCCGATAACATTTTTAACATTTATTTACCAATTCTGTGAGCTTATCATTTTACGTACTATAACAAAAAATTCCATGTTTTTAAAGTTATCAATTCAGATTAGGCTAATGATGGTGTAGATGTTTATGGATATGCACATGGATGAGCGGTATTCCATTTTGCCTATCATTCCGGAAGAATCACATTGTCCTAAATAGATAAATAATTTGGTCGTTGTTAGTGAACTAGCACAGTTGAATTTATTTCAATTCCTTCCCTATGCAAATTCTTTTCCCAAATAAAAGTATCTGCTTGCTAACCAGAAATCTGTGTGTAGAACTGCTGAAGGATGTTATTGGAAGGGTTAAAATCTGAAATAGTCAATTTCGTACTTTTATGAACCGTTTCTTCTTACGAAGAATAACCTATGAAGCATTTTAGGAATCAGTTTATCTGAAAATTCTTTACAACATAAAATGAGTTATTCTGAAGTAGTTTGGATGTTTTTTTAGGAAAGAAATTTTTTATGTTCGTTTCTGATTATTAAATACTCCGTTATCATTGCTATCAATTATCAGTTATTATTTCCTCAATTTACTGTTACATTATTTCTTGCTCTTTATTATCAATTTCTGTTATCTTTTCAACCAAAATACTCTACTCCAAGTTTTATTATCATTTGTTATTCCATATTACCATTCCATCTACGGGAAGATTATCTCAAAAAAAAGAGTGATAATTAATACTTTATGAATGACTTTTTTTTTTACAAATTGTTGCACATTTGTTATGAACTAAATGGTCTTTAATCAATGAAAATTTATTTTGAATTGAAAATTTTCATCTTAATTGTATAAAAATCTTTTGTAATATGTTCGAGTCACAAATAAACAAGAGAAATGAAATGAATTCTGTTTAAGAAATTTTTACAAAATTTGTGAACAACCGATAAAGTAGAAATGATGGGAAAATTTTTTTTCTCATGAAAAACCATTTTTGGAATGATTTTTTAGTTGGCAAAATAAATAAACAGATTTTGTTTTTTTTTTGAAATGGTTCCAAAAAAATTTTTGATATTAATTCTTATTTGGTTTTTATTGGTTTTTTTAATGGTTTATTCAAAAATTCTAACTGAAAATTTTCTATTTCTCTTTTTCTTTTTGGATGATGATAGGAACCATATGGGATGCAAAGTAATGATTCATTATTGCTTATTTTATTTGTCATCTTTCATCATGAAGCGCTTAAATATTTCACATTTCCCCATTATCGACTTTTTTTTTGCCATTTACGCCATCTTATCAAGGTTATTGAAGGTTACTGAAATATTTGACTGCATATATTTATAAAATATGAAATAAAGCCTAGTGGAAATTGGTTGATAAATGAGCTAAATGCGTGAACGAAGTTATTTTAGATTGTATCTTTTTTGTTTGATATCTTTTTGAATATTGTTAATGATGACATCTAATGTTGACAGTTACTTAGGTGCAAATTTCCAAATGTATCGCCATATATTCATCTTTAGTGAAATAGATTGCGAATGGTCAGTGTTCATCTATGATAGCACTTATAAGGCAAAACTTCATTATATGACAGAATTATGATTATGCATAGACGAAAACAATTGTTTTGCATGTGCTGATAGATAATTAATTAAGCAATATTTTTCTTTTTCTCTATTGAGACTTCCTTTGTGAATTACATAATCTGGCTACAAATGGTCATAATCAATATCGTTTGTTGTTATTTCGGTAAATGCGGAAATGTCTGAATTGAAAATTTTTCTTGATGATGATATTGATGATAGTGTAGAATTTAGCGTATAACCAGTGGAATTTGTATTGTCTTGTCTTGCATGCAAATTGTATAAATTGCAGCATGCAAAATTAAGACAACATTTTCTTTTTCCTATAGGTTTTGATCCTGAAAATATTGATTTAAGCACTGGAAGCAAAAGTAGTTGAAGTAATAGTTGGCTATGGTCTTAAAAAATTTTAAATAAACGAGAATTTTTAATCTTGTGGTCGATGAATGATGACAAACTTTCAACTTAAAATTATAAAACAAAAAAAAAGAAGAAATGAATTAAGCGTAAAATTGAATTCATAAGATTTGATTAATGCAAAAGGATTGAAAATCCATTTAGAAGTTTGACCTTCAAAGAAATGAAGAAATTTGAGTAGCATTGCGGAAGTTTTTTCATTAGGAAATTTTCTTCTTTACATTTCAAGAATGTAAGTAGACAGTCATTGCATTAGTTGAGCGCTCTCTCAATTCTCGGAACAAGTTTTTAGGTAATTTCATCAATTCGTCGTTATTTGCTAAACTCGTTTTCTATATTTATTTATTACTCACTTTCGACTGCTCCCAATTCATATGTCATTTCAACAAGCTTTCCAATAGACAAAATAAACCTTTTTTTTCTCTCTTCCTTTAAATTACTTTTTAAGAGCACTGATTTTCAATAATGGCTTTGTATATGTCTATATATATATATATATATATATATATATATATATATATATATATATATATATATATATATATAGTATATATA